TATTAAATATAATAATATAATAACTAATATAGACATTAAACAGTATCAGCCCCAGTATCAAATCCTGAGAAATGCCACTAACCGTTGGCCACCAGATAGATTTTTGTACTGCTTTTTGTACTTCCACCCACTCTATAATTCAACTAGCTAGCCTATATCTCACAGAGCAGACTATAAGGATACCAAGAAAGACTGTGCTGAAGGCCTTGCTTAAGTTCAGGTACCAGGTATTAACTACTCTTCCCTTTGTCCATGGAACCAGCCATCTCCTCTCAGAAAGCTGTCAGATTGGTCAGGTAAAGTTTGTCCTTCAGAAATCTGTGTTGGATGTTGCAAATCACCTTCCAGTCCTTCACGTGGCTGGATGTGAATTCCAGAAAGATTTGCTAATCTTCTCAGGGACTGAGGAGAGGCTGACCAGCTTCTAGTTTCCAGGATCCTCCTCATTAGTCTTTTTGAGCTTAGGCATAACACTTTACCTCCCATCACTGGAGACCTCCCCAACTTGCCACTAAATTTCAAGAATTCTAAACAGTGGCCTTGCAATGACACTAATGTCAGCTGTCTCAGCATCCTGTCCTGCCCCATAGAATTGAATATATCTACCTTAGATCAACAGTCCCTAACTTGATCTTTGACTTCCACCTCTCTCCCTCAATCTTTGGTAGCAGGCCTAATTGGGAAATGAAGCACATCTTGCCAGAAAAGACCAAGCAAAGGAGACTTAAGTACCTCAGTCCATTCCATGTTCTCTAGCACTGGATGTCTCACCCCACGAGCAAGATACCCACGTTTTCTACCATAATCTTTTTCATGTTATTTTACCTATGCAAGCCCTTCTTGCTTTGCTTCACACCAAGTTTAACTCCAGCTGAGCTGCAGCCCTCTTAATACCATTTCTACCTGCCCACACAATGTTTCTACATTCCTCCTGGGAAGCCTGTGTTTCTTTTTGAATCATAGAATCATTTAGGTTGGAAAATACTCTTAAGATCACTGAGTCCAACCATAAACCTAACACTATCACGTCCACCACTAAACCATGTCCCTAAGCACCACATCTACATGTCTTTTAAATATCTCCAGGGACGGTGTCAACCACTTTCTGAGGCAGTCTGTTCCAGTGCTTGATAACCCTTTCAGTGAAGAAATTTTTCTTAATATCCAATCTAAACCTCCCCTGGTGCAACTTGAGGCCATTTCCTCTTGTTCTATCACTTGTTACCCGAGAGAAGAGACCAACACCCACCTCATTACAACTTCCTTTCAGGTGGTTGTAGAGAGCAACAGTGTCTCCCTCAGCCTCCTTTCCTCCAGACTAAACAAACCCAGTTCCCTCAGCTGCTCCTCACAGGACTTGTTCTCTAGATTCTTCACCAGCTTTGTTGCTCTTCTTTGGACATGCTCCAGCACCTGAATGTCTTTCTTGTAGTGAGAGCCCCAAGTTTGATTAAACAGGAAACTCCAAACTGCCTTGTCTCCTGCTGCACCTACCTTTTTTTTCTTAGGGACTGGGAATGCCTATTTCTTGTGCTTTGAACACACCACCTCTGAAAATAAGCCAGCTTTCCTGACCCCTTTCTACCCTGAAGGCAGCCACCAGTGTGATCCTGCCTCCCAATTCCCTGAACAAACAAAGTCTACTCTGCCAAAGCCCAGGGTCTTCAGTCTGCTTATCTCCTGCACTTTTCTCAGGACCTTAAACTCCATCTCTACCACCTGCAGCCAAGTCTGCCATTAGCTATGATGCTCCTGCCAGTTATTCCCTGTTCATGACAAACAGGCCAACTGCAGCACCTTTCTTAGTTGGTCCGTCAGCATGTACCACAAAAAAAAAAAAAAACTGGCCCCAGTGCCCTCCAGAGATCTTCTGGATTACTTGAACCACAGTAAGATGTCCACCCAGCAGATGTAAGGAAGCTTATTCTCCCAACAGAATCAGGGCCTGTGATAAGGAGATGACTCCTACTTGTTTAAAGAAGGTTCTGGCCACCTGTAGATTGGGCAGTGTTTGCAGGAGAAGCTTGACCACAACACGCCTTTTGGTGGCTGCCTCCTCTGATCCTTAAGTATTCAACTAGCTCATCATTCATTCCATAAGAGCTCCATGTATTTGAGCTGATCTTTTGCTAAGCCTCCTGGCCTCATCTTCCCCACCTATCCTTCTTGAGTGCTTGTATTCATTCATACAGCCCTCTGTCATGCAACTCGTCCTACCATGTTGCTAATTCCAGTCACATGGCAGTTCTGCAACCATGCACAAACTCCCAGATCCTCCTAGCCGTACATAAGCACATGCACCCTGGGGAAACAGACACTTTAGATGAGCCTTTCATCATCCCACATTTTCAGAAATAAGGTGCAAGAGCCTTTGTTGTCATGCTTTCTGTTATGTTCCTCTCAGTTTCTCAATCTGCAAGCTTTGGTCTCCATCCGCTAACAAGCCTAGTTCAAAAGCCTTCCTTACCAGCTTAGTAAGCCTGTTGGCAAATAAGCCCTTGTTCTACTTTGTCTTTCCACAGCAATCCAGATCTATGGATGATTTACAGGATACCTCCATTTCTGTCAAAGTCTAGTCACAGGTGGTGTCCCCCCGCTTATGCTCTCTAAAGTTTAAACAGTCCTATAAAAACTGAAGTTTAGAAACTAAAAAGGTTTAGAAACTAAAAAGCACTCTCAAAAGCAGGAAATATATTCTTCCAGCCCCACCATGGTGAAGAGATCTCAACCTAAAGGCAGCTAGAACAGAGATGCACTTAACATCTAAGTGCAAGTCATTAAAATACATATGAATAGCAGAAAAACCTGGAAGTATTTTCTTACCTCCGCCATGTCTTCAAAACAGCTGCCTACTAACGGATGAGGACTACCTTCATCTGTCATTTCAACAGTGTCTTCTATATGACCCAGTAACTTCACACTAAGTTCATGAATGTCTGATATACGACTAAATATATTTTCCACATCCTGCAAAAGCCAACAGAACCAGACAAAAATCAACAGGAAATTGAACACAATTTCTAAGAAGAAGAATGTTATGTACAAAGCTACTGTGTTATGATATGAAAGTCAAGCACTTCTTTAAATAGAACAAGATATTATAATACATTATATACTTTCTGTATAATTTATATAAGGTCATTGATTTTATTTTTAGAAGAATGACTATATATATGTATACATATATATAAATTTACAATGACTCGAACATGGCAAAGAACAGTGACAAATCTTAAATTACAAGCCTGCAAGTGAATATAGTAGATTAGTTGGTTTCTTCCACAGTTTTACAAAACCAGTCCTTCCCCACTGTGCTCCTTTACTATTTCCATTTCAGAACCTGAGACAAGTGCTTCCTCTACTATATGTTAAACCGGAGAATAATTACGTTCCAGAAGGGTTCAGATAGATTTATAGATAGTATAGTAGGGTTTTTTTCTGTTTGTGGTTTGTAGAATACTTACGTGAGATGAAAATAGTTTGGAGTTGGAGGCATATGGCTCTCTAAAAACCCTGATAATGAGATTTAGTTCCCTTATATATTGTCGAACCTCTGCCATAAATGACTTCACTAGGTCATAATAGGTTTGCTCCCCTGAGGTGGAGGGTTCCTCATCCGATAAAGTTAATGTACTTAAATCTTCTACATCTTGATGGAACATATCCATTAATACCTAGGGAGCAAAGGGGGGGAAATCCACAAAGTGAGAACAACTTCTTTTCAAGATCTACCAGTAAGTTACCAGTAAAGGAAATCTATTATTCCCATGAAATCAGACTAATCAGCAGTAAGATGTATCATCATTCTGCAATTGGTTAAGCATTACAAAAGCTATATGCATTGCTATGATTTTGCAAGTCTTTATTTGCAGTAGCAATTTTTGAAGAATTCCCAGTCATTTAGACCAATCCAAGCATCTCTCCAAGAATGTGTCCTAAAATCAATTACAATTTTAAGAGGTCTATGAAGTATACAGACACGTTTAACATTTAGCTGTATTCTATTACTCTGAGTTAGCCATGCATAATCTTAAGTTTCTGAAGATACTATATTATCTGAAGTCAAAATGTATGTGCATTTTGGCTTTTCATCTTTAGCTTTAACAGGAAGTCACATATGATCATGCTCAGAAACCTGTAATCTATCTGCAAAACTGGCGTGCCCACATACTCTGCGTGGCCTGGTTTTTGTCCTTAATAACTCCTGATTTCTCTTGTTAAAAACAGACCCTTGAGGAAGGGCACCAGCTTCAGAAAAGGTGGCAGTAGCACTGCAGAACTACATAGGCAAAGGACCTCTAAAAACTCTGACTACCAAAGGTACCAATTCATACGCAAGCAAGGCTTACCAAACAGAAGCACTTAATTTGAACGTCTCAAGAGAAATGGATCACTGAACACTTCTTCCAAACATAGTATCTGAGCCAGGAGTCACTGGCAAAGTGGCAAATAGAAATCACACTTTGGGTTGCTTCCATGATACTTAAAGAACATCTTAAAGATAAACTAAATTAGTTGACTGCAAATTAGTCAAAGGCATCCTAATTTGAAGTATCTTTAGCAGAAAGAAAACCTAAAGAGGGTCCAGAAACAATCTACAATGATGTAGCAAATCTTAACAAAAGCCAGCATTAAGATGTAGTTCAAGATGACTTTGTCCTGGGACAGACAGATGAGAGAGTATTTATAAAAAAATCTGCTCCCCAGAGCTGCACCCCCTTCCAGGAAGTCATTAAGTACATCAAACAATACAGGTTAACTTGAAAATAAATAAGAACTTAAGTGCTGCTTGCTAGCCTCCCTTCTGAACAGACAGAAGTGAAGCCATGGCAACCTATGCCTGTTACTACAGAGACTGACATGACTGCTGCCAATCACTGAAAAGACTGAGGAAAAAACTGCAGGATCAAAGCTGTAAATACTCCTCTGAGAACCAGAGAAGGGAATTAACATTAAACATGAACTAGAGTTTTTAAAATGGCAGAAAATACAACAAAAAAGTGTTTTTCAAAATAATTCTAAAACTAGAGATAAGAACTAAACATCTGAACAAGCCACAAACATACATGACATTTACCCTGGTATTTACAGTAAGAGTCTTCTTTCTTTAAAGCATGTTACAGGCATTTCTCCAGAAGACATTTCAGTTAACCAAGCTGTTGACTACTGATACTAGACAAATGAACTATTCTGCAAGAGAATACTTGGGGTCTATAAGTTCAAGAGATGGTAGGTTTATTAGACTTGAATATTGGAAGAAACACACCTACCTAGAGCAGTCATTCTTCACCCAGGTCTTGTCCTAACACTCCTCAAAAATATACAGGTGTAGTGAGTGGGGAAATGGGTACATAGCAGGTTCTTTCTCCTAGTGAGTCAAAGGTCCCTGCTACACACCCTGGTCTTAAGCTTCTCTGAAATCAGAACAATGGACATTTTGCATTAAGACTGACTTGTTCTGAAGCTCTAAGAACAGAAGGTGTTTCATCTTTCAAACCCAATGAATGTACATGGAACTCAGATTATAAGGAGAATCCTAATTCTAGGGAATGGGACATTATAGAGTTACTACTGTAGGAAATGACATGGAATAATGCAGGTATTCAAGGAGGCCCTGTAACTTTACTTCATGGACACAGTTCTAGCACATACTTGAGCTAGAAGATTCCAGGCTGTATTCACAAGGTGCATATCTCACTACTATGAAATCCACAGAAACAAATTAAAGTAACTATACCCCAGATATTGAATTTAGAGCAAGCAGAAACACGAGCAGACAGAAGACAAACAGCTTGCATTTTAATGGAGTGCATTTTTTTGCAGACAAGGCAAAATTTTCCAGATGGATGGATGGCACAAAAGCAAGTGTGAAAGTGCTTGAGAAAAAAATGGCACATAGGGCCAAGAAACTGTTCTGATTGTTTTGTTTCAAAAAATAAAATCAAGCAGAACACGTTATGGATATGAACATAATATACTATGAAGTTTCTTGATGCAGCTGGAAAGCAAGCACCTCAGTAGCACCTTCCAATGGCTTGTTCTGCTGAGGCAGTAAACCAACAGGCCTGCTTTAGAGCCTTTCCAAAGTTTCATCTGTGCACATATCAAAGAGTTTCTCCAATGTAACGTAATAAAAGTTCCTAAATCAACTTCACAACAGCTCTTCTGCTCACCACTTTTCCTAGGATAGACAGAAGCATGCAGCAACAGCATTTGTTCCTGATATTATTCTATGGCAAATATTCAAACATACACCTTCAAGCCCTGCCCTAATGAACCAGGCAGATATGCCCAAAAAGCAAGAGTGATCAAGACTACTGTCCTGAGAAGTACTTGACTTTTCAAGACCTCACAAGATATCTTGTCAGATAAAAAAAAAAAACAAACAAAAAAAACCACACACAAGCAGGAAAGAGAAAGGCATTCATTGAAACAAAGAGGCGATCCCAAAGATATTGATTGTTAATCAATAGACCAAGACAGAATACAGAAAAGAGGTGATAAATGTGAAAATCCCTAGACTTCAAAATTAGAGATTCTTAAGTTCCATCCTGTAGAGGATTAACTTCAAGCTTTGTTTATCAAACAATGGAAAACGTGAGATGATAATAAGGTGGTCACAGAAGCTAGAGTGCAACGACATCCAAAAGACAGACCTTGCTCTATCACTGCTGGAAAGAGAGATGATTCCTGTCTAAACCTAATGAATCTTCTGAAGCCACAAGAAAGACTACCTGCAAATAAAAATACAGACTTAAGGAAGATTAGGCTGAGATGGCTAAAGCAGGTGGGTTTTTTGCTTTAAAATGCTGGACCATCAAAACACTATTTTTTACATGCAATACAGTCTTAATTATTTTGGGAGAACACCCAAGCTTAATTTCAGCTTTCTTTTTTCAAGCTACAAAATAAGGCTCCACTACTAGAGCTTAGGAATGTTAAATTTTTAAATTAGCGCTGCTTCACAAAATTTTTTAAAGCAATCACACGTTGCTGAGATTAGGCAAGTGATATCAAAAGGAAGAGAGACTTGACTATTAATAAGCATAAGCAACACCTCTATAAGCTCAATTAGCTTTTTGGTAGCTTTGCTCTATTACTGGAATCATACTTTACGGCAGTAATTTCTTCTTTCAAAAGGTACAACACTATGTACTCAATAAGGAATAGACATTGTCCTCTCAAAACTTAACTAAAACTTCCTCTTAATGTGAGAATCAAGAGTTAGGCTTACCTTATCAGCACACATTGCCACTTTAATATCTTGTTTTGTGATCTCATAATGTCTTATATTCCGCACATAATTCCCAACCAATTTTAAGATGTCTGCAGAAATGTATTCTAATACTGCCACTATGTAAACAGACACTTGGTGGTCAATTTTGTAGCCTAGAACCTCCTGGAAGGAAAAAACCAAACGTGTTCTGTTGTTACTCAGTCAATGAAACACACACCACAGGTTACAAATAAAAGGAGTAATTTTAAGATCCTATTCAATAAACACTCATCACATATCCACAGTCTATTTTAGCAATACACAGTAGTCTTTCAGTCTAAGGAGGAAACCGTGTCATTGTAGATGCTACTCTTAACTGTGGAAGTGACAACAGCCAACAACTGTCCCAAAAACCTCAGGGCTATTTCCAGAAGTTTCTTGAGCATTTTATTAGTCATGCAAAATGAAACAAGAACAATCAAATTCATAGCAAATCAGGTTTTGGCTTTGTTTGTTCAATAGAGAATTAACTAATTTTCAAATGAAAAAGAAATATATGCAATTAACTAAACTGGAACACTTAAAACTATGTAACACACAGATATTCTTATTAATTTTTGTTTACATTTCAGGCAGCATACAGACATTACATGAAACAAAGGTGTCAACTTCTAATTGCATTCTAAAAGCAAGATTACATCACTGCTTACCTTTAATAAGGGATGGATTTTTTCTACTGGGAGAGATAGTGGATTTCTTCGTTTTCTCTTCTCAATAGCAGACTGGGCATCAGCTATTGCCCACTTATCAATAGGATGGGGAAAACTTTTTTGAACACGATCCTTAAAAAGACAGGACTAAAGGGTAAATGCACAATCTGAATGATCTTAGCAATATTACTACATTATGAAATCGCTTTCCATTACTTAACTAAGGAATGTTTGTTAATGTTAGCACTTCAACTACCAAAGCTTGTACAACACACGTAAAATTTATCATTTTGGTACATGCTACTCACTACATTCATAAGGCTGTATCAGAATATCCTTATCGTAGAATAATCTAGTGCTTAAAATTTGAGAAATGCCAGAATTAAGTTGCCATTACAGGCACAATTTGCTCCCCTTATGCATATGCTTGGTAATTCAGCATTTAACTACATAACTACATTTTATCCTAGCACTTTATTCCCTGTACAGAATGGTCACTGAATGAGATGAGTTTTCTATTCACCTTTACTGATCAGCACATGGTCCAGACTGTATATATGCAAACTGCTCTGATGATGGCAATGAACACAATAAGAAAAGAGAATGACAGACAGCACCCACATATTTTAAAACAGTATCATAGTTTTGTTTATGGTCCAACAGTTGGACCGTATATGCCCCAGTTTATTTACTCCTTCCAGCAGTCAGGGTGCATGAGGATACATACACTCTCCCATGCATTGAACAGCTCTCCTGCTGGAACTCACACACAGGTCTCTGGAAGTTCAAAAGCTTCACCTTTTTTGATGATGTTCAGAGATGCCAGAAATCTAACTTCTCAGATAATTTCCAATCGTATTTTTTCAGCCCACAGTTCCCACTGACTGTTTTGGTTGCAAGTGCTCACTTATGTAAATATGAGCCTCATTTGAGCAACCATGAAATGAGGAAGATGAAGTTAATGACCACTTACAAAGAGCTGGTACAGGACAAAGTACACAAACAAAAACTTTTTGACAAAAACCCGGTACAGAATACAGTTCTATAAAGGTTGCACCCAAATTTCCAAAGTGCGGGCTTTTCTTTTTCTCCACTCATCATAACACTTCCACAAAAGGAAAGCAAAGGTCCTACCAAAAAAAAGAGACTTTAAGTCTCATTCACTAATACCAATTCACTCCCCTAATACAGTCCAGGCTGCTGACTGAACAATGAAAGTGTTGTGGGGGAAAAATAAATGTGTATGACCATATAATTAAAGACAGCATCATTATGCGTAAACACAAAGGGGGTAAATTGAGGTTGCCTGATCATCTCTAATTCTTGCATTTCTCATCCTGACTTCAGAGCCATAAGACTCATAATGCAATGCCGTATGTCAAGTTTTTTTGTTAGCATTGTTTAAAACACAGCACTAAACAATCTTCCACAAACCTCTTGTCTCTTTATCTGCCAGACCAGAATGATGTTGCAAGACAGGCCAGCCACTTAAGGGGACACTGGAACACCATTAGAGGTGTCAGTGTTCAAAAGAGAAGAGGAAAGATGACATTCATGAATCTTTAGCCCAGACAGCTACCTTTTTTTTTTAAAAAAAGTTTTTTTGTGGTTTTTTTTTTTTGCCATTAGTCTACTTTCTTCAGAACATGAGGAAGTTGCATCTTGTTTTGTTACCTAACTCAGCACAGGCACAGCTCCCGAGTACTGGAAACCTACACATGAAGTCTTTAGCTTGGCACCAAAGTCTTCAAATCATGGTTAAGCACAAAGGGCTACCAACATATTCATGGGCTTAGAAGCTTGACTCATTTAGCTTAACTAATTTGTTTCTCAGTTCAAGCCATTTTCTCAGATTAAGCTCCCTTCTCAAACATGAAGCTGCTTTTCTGAGCAACAGAGGTTGTAGATCTTTGAAAAGGCAATTGTAAGAGAAGGGGTTTCTAGATAGAGCAAAGTAGTGTTCCTCAACTCGTTCTGAGAAAGTGAGCAAACTATTTTTTTTAAGATTTCCAGAACAGCAAGGGGTATATCAGCCTAAGTCACCATGCTGAGAAAGCAGCAGAGCCTCAGACTAAGCAGCTATAGTTTTCATGCAGTATCAGTGGGGAAAAAAGGTCTTTTGAAAGGAACCAGTCAGCTTTATGTACAGAAGTTACACTAACCATCTATTACACAGTAATACAGTTCTGAGAAAGTTTTACTACGCATTGAACAACAAACTCAATTGATAGGAAAATCAGCTACTAGGTAACTTAACAGGCTTTATGTGGAACGTTCTGCTACATAAAGATACATAATTACTGCTTTACTTTTTACATTGTGAATTGATTAGTATATGAACTTTTAATGTAACAGTTATAATTATTACAGATTTGTAATAATTATTCTTTATACCTCTACATCCAGAAAACTTCTTGGCTGGGCTTGACACAACATACTTAACAACTGGAGAATTAACTCCTCCACATACTGTAATGCATCTTCAGTAGAGGAAAGTTTAGGATGGACTTGTACCTGAACCTATAGGAAACAAAAGAATTCAAGCTTTTGAGTTTTGCTTTTCCCTCAAACACATGCTTTACTTGCCAAAAAAATGACAAAAGAATGAGGTAAAGAGATCAGAAAAATCCAACCCAAAATGTAGCTCTATTAAGACACACCAGATGAACATGAGTGAAACACTCACCTATACCTGAGAGAATTAAAAATCTCAAATGTTAAATGTACTCAAATCACTGTAAGTGACATTTAATGTCAAGAAAACAGCTAATTAGTAACAGTCCTTAGCAGTGCAATTAAGAAAACTGTTTAAAAACTCTGCATATATTTACCTTTCTCCCCTAGCTCTTAAACCACTCTTTGTACAAGACACTTTAGACATGGGGTTTTCTCCCTTTTACAACTGACTGTTTGTCACTCAATCTATAAAAATGAAATACAGAACTTTTTTCACAGAGGGAGCATTACAGAAACAGCAATGGTTTCATCAGTATTTAGCCTTCAAATTATTTAATCCATGCTCAATTAGCTCTCACTAAAATAAGACTGATTTAGAAGTTTTTTTCCATACTGTTTTTTTAAAAAGATGTCAGCCCCTAGAGTAAAAAACACTTTAAAAACAGCCACAGTGTTGTCCTGGCATTAAGTGGCAGTTCAGAGGTTTTGAAAGTTCGGTCCCCATACATTTACTCGTATGTCACAAGTGTCTGTAAATTCGAACCAGTGTAAAATCCACTGAGGCATGATCCTCCTTGCTCCTCCCTGCTTTTTGCGGTCATTTAACTCCTGCAACAAGCCTCCAGTATAACTTTCCTTTGCACTTCCATGGTTCACAAAATAGCACAGTTTTAACCAGCTTAAATTTCACATATGCAAAGCTCAGTGCTTTATGAGCTTAAACAGACAAGCAGTTTAATCTGAATCCTACACCAATAGCAAATATTATGTCAGAGCAAGCTGACTGCTAACTTTCACAATGCATCTTTCAAGCCCCAATGTCATCATTTTACCATTCCGCTGCACACAACTCAAAATGCCTCCAGTTCTCTCAATCACTAACACAAGAGCCTAGGCACCTTAAAGCAAAACCAAACAATCCCTCTCATCCAAATATTAAACCCATGTCTATATTCAAATAATGGTGCCATAATTATTTAATTTCACACCTGTGTTTTCATTCCTGTTTGCAGTTATAGCAAGAATTAAATGCTATAAAGTTCAAACACACAACAGCCTCAAATAGAAATCCACTTGCCTGCTAAGGCACTCATTAGATTGAAAATTTCATGTCTGGGCATAGTCCTGGTGCTCATTTAACTGCTGTTGAGATTTAAATACACTAGATCATGCATTTAGTTTCTTGCAGATTGCACCCCCTTATACAACAGATCTTAAAAAAAAATCTCCAGAAGTTATTGCTTTTTTAACTTAAAAGCACTTTGGCAAAGATAGAGCAGGAGAACTTCTCTCTATTTGACTACCTAATGCAATTATTTTTATTATACCAACAGTTCATTCTTCCCAAGAACTTCACCGGGCACAGCTACAGCATGTGTTTGTGGACATACCCGAGTAACAGCATGCACAGCAGTCTCAGGCGTTATTTACAATTCAAACACAGACCTATGAAATGCTGTACCAGCTTGGAACACCTTAACACCAAAAATTACAGACTTGCAGAAGTATTATCTTAAAGGTCAGAGCTGCCTGGAAGATGCTGCCTTAAAGCAGAACTGAACAAATTTCTATTATATTCTTCCTACAGTATATTCTACTTTATATTTTGAGAAGTGTTAAATTACCAAGTCAATCTGACAGTAAAAATACAGAACATGATAAACCAGAGTGATGAAGAGCAGCTCTATTTTCTCCTTTGCTTAGAAAACAGACTGTAGACTTAAATAGCCTCATCACAACTCTTTCGGTCTGTAACACAGAATCTATAGGAATAAGAACAAATAAAAATACCACATCAGGCCATGACCTGAAACATTATCCACAGTCAGTCAAAAAAGGCAACAACGATAACCTACTCCTAGTTCAGGAGATAAAGTTCTGAACATTTTTCCTAAGCACTTATGTTTGGGAGGCAATCATTCATTCTTCTCAAAGGCCATCATCTTCGGGCACTATCAAGCTCTACTTTAGTAGAATATCCACCTTGGAAGAGGAAAACGTCATGAGGTGCCATTGGTAGTTTATTTATATTAGGTAGGTAGTAAATAACCTTCATTGCTACTTAAGTGAGATTTACTATCATTTAGGGTTCAAAGTCATACAAGCAAAAGCAAGAAAACAACTAGATTAACAAGGAAAATTACAGGATACCCTGGCGTACAATTATCATAAAAGCGTGTAATTTTAGTATCTGCACTACTGTAGTACCTAAAGGCTCAGACTAAGAATGAAAGAGT